ATCATTTATTTCTTAAGACTTCCACTGATAATTGGCTTTTTGAGTCTATAAGTCTATACTACTATACTATTTATAGTCTATATTATAGCGTCATATACAAGATCACAAAACCGCTAAAAAGGCGAACGACTCACCAATACACAAACCAAACGCTTCAACTGACATGCACTCGCTGATAAAAGCATTTAGTTTTCCCCACTATAAATCATAAAAAGACCTAAAAGAAGACCAAAAAAGCAGACAAAAAGTCATAAAGAAGACCTAAAAGTAAACCAAAATGCTATTAAAAACATCACAATTCTCATAAGACACCATCTACTCCGCTGTCACACCAGCGATCCATTTTCTTGCCCTTTTCCGACATATCGCAACCGTCCTGGCGTCTTTGACCTGCGACGGGGCCGAGTTCCACTGTTTCACTGCCCGGCATGTGAAAAAGCGCTTGGCGTGCTCACTTCGCACGAGTGGTAGCTGCAGATTTGCTGCCTGGACAGCAAGGGTATTCCTTTCAGTCACATCAGTGCGATATACGAGACATTCACGCAGGCTGACCGGGGAGTGAGGGGAGTTTAACCCTATTACTGGTGGATAATGATGTAAATAATAAACCAATTAATACAAATCAAATATATTCAAACATAGACCTCTTTACACCAGAGGTCTATGTGTACAGAGGTCTATGATTCAAAATACACAAAGCTTTCGGCTTAAACAGCCTTGATCACTGTGAGTTGTGACAATGTATAATCGGTACAACACAAATATTCGCAGTAACCGTCTAAGAATTCTTGAAAATAATGAATCGCGTGTTTCTTGTTTTACTAGCCAACTGCCGATTTTGCTGCCATCGATGACCAAGTAATGAATCCGTTTCTACTGTTGAATGTGTCCCGTGTGATAATATGAGCCGCTTCCAGGATCTTTCTCGTAGATTTCTTCATGTTCTTTTCTAATATTTTCGTATTTTCCCAATCAGGTAAGTGGTTGCATTGTTCTATGTGTAGCACTATCGCGTTTGAAGTACGATGGAATTTTACGTCGCTTTTATGCTCTTTTAAACGAACATTAACCCCCCTTCCCGTTTCTCCAACATAAGTTCTTTGGCACCCCTTGCACGGTATTTCATAAACTACACTTTTGGCAACATTTATGTCTTCTCTACTTTCTTTATGTTTGACTATTTCTTGAATTTTCTTTCCCGTCACAGTGGCTATTTGTATGTCTGACTTTTCGAGTGTTCTTGATATGATGTCGATGTTCTTCGAGTTTGGCACTGAAATCCACCTTCGTTTTTTGTTCGCTTTTCGTTTTCTTGCAGTGTTCGTGTCATCATCTTGTGGTTGGTTTGCATGTCGTTCGTGTCTTCTGTTAACTTCATCGCTTTGCTGTTCGTTCGTTTCTTGCTCGTGTCTCTTGTTTTGCTCCTTTCTTCGATTTTTGATTTTTTTTCCGCCTTTTCTTTTTGTTTAATATTTAAAAATCCTCTTGGGTATTTCAGTTTTTCGAACGAAGCGTATATGTGATTGAACTCATCTTGAACAAATTCTTTGCTACAGATTCTTAAAGCTCTTAAAAAGAACCCAATCACGATTCCACTTTTTGTTCATGAAGCGGCTCATATTATCCTGGAAGCGGCTCATATTATCACACGGGACACATTCAACAGTAGAAACGGATTCATTACTTGGTCATCGATGGCAGCAAAATCGGCAGTTGGCTAGTAAAACAAGAAACACGCGATTCATTATTTTCAAGAATTCTTAGACGGTTACTGCGAATATTTGTGTTGTACCGATTATACATTGTCACAACTCACAGTGATCAAGGCTGTTTAAGCCGAAAGCTTTGTGCATTTTGAATATATTTGATTTGTATTAATTGGTTTATTATTTACATCATTATCCAATCTGTCATGGATACTCAACATTACTGGTGGGCTTTCTGGACTACGTTAACACTACGTTAACTGGTGGGGGGGGGGGATTCGGCCCCCCTTGATATCTCGAAAACTAAATGTCCGAATTTAATGGGACGAACGCCATTCGATTGCTCTCATTGTGAACTTTCAGACTCGCTATTAAAAGTAGAAAAAGTTCAAAATTGGGAGTCCTGGAAGCAAAAATTGTCGATAAAAATCGTGTTTTACTTCTTATCCCTAAAAATGCTATAACTTCTTTATTTTTTGACCGATTTTGATAAAACTTCAGGGGACCCTTCTTCATGAACTGGTCTATCATATATATTCCAGCATTTTGGATATTTCAAAAATGATAGGCGGATTCAGGTAAGCTAACTTGGGATGATGTTTTGAGTTTTTGTCGTGGTATGTCATGTGTTTTATGACATGATGCATCATATATCATGTAAAATATGCAACGTGAGCACAAAATGCACGTTTTCGTTCAGCATAGGCGGATTCAGGCGTGCTAAGACGGGGAGCATTACATTGAGATTACCCCCCCCCCCCTTTCTCAGGTACCTGGGTCCGCCTATTCCAACATTTTCATTGTAGAATGACGTCACATAGTGTTTCGGTGCATACATATGACGGGGGTTGCCACTGATCACCATTACAAACCTAAGTAAGTCGCTGCTTAGCGGCAAATGTCGAAACAGTCAAAGTTAGGCCAAAACTACCCCCGAGAAGCTCGTCCTGGAGACGCCTCTGCGCAAGCTAGATACTAAGAAATTTGACACAATGTGCCCATGAATGGCAAGGAAAAATCACCCAAATTCAAGCCCCTGGCTACAGTGGTTTTCCGTCGAGAGCAAAAAAAAAAAAACTACAGGTGGGGGCCGATTCGCCCCCCCCCCCCCACCACCAGTAATAGGTTTAACCCTCGCATGTGTAGGGGGGGGTCGGATGGACCCCCCCCCCATGGTTTTTCGCGAATAACTCGCGTAAAAAGCGGCCGATCGCGACGAAACTTTCAGTACCCTCACATTGATCAATTTTACACCTACCCTGAAAATTTCATGACCCTGACCCAAATGACCTTTGACCTGTGACCTCTTTTCCGAGACCATGTTTGGCCGGAATCGCGATTCTGCGTATGTCAGCTCGCATTAGCCGCGCGTTTGCAAGCTTTTCGTGGTTTCAAACGTTCAAACATGTAATTTGATGTTACTCCCGTGGGTGTCAAGGTCACCTGAAGGTCAGGTCAGGTCATTGACCTTTGGTGACCTCGGGTGACCTCGGTTCACTTTTTCGAGTTTTACATGTTTCTAGGCTAGTTTTTGGAGCTGAATTCGAATTTAGCAACCATTTGAACATTTACGAAGTAGTTTTGGTGACTTCGTAACATGTTACGAAGCTGTCAGAGGCGGTTGACACGTACTACGAATACCCGTCACGACGCCTACTGGTTGACCTGACCTGACCTGACCCGACCTGGTCTAAATGCTTCAAGACATCATCTGTGATCAAAACTAACACGATATTCGTGATCAGCACCCCGAAAAACCCCTTAGCAGCCACTCTTTACGACTTTCTAACAGGTCCCGATTTTCCCGACTTTGGGGTCATTGACCTGACCTGGAAGGTCAACCAATGACCTAGGACCTTAAAATTGGGTATCATCGGCTTCCTCTCGTCACGGGCAACACGCTCGTTTTTTCCGCGAAGCTCTAGCTTGATCAGGGGCCAAACGGCAAGGGGGGGGTCCAACCGACCCCCCCCCCTACACATTAGAAGCTGGCAAACGCCGCACACATGCGAGGGTTAAGGTGGTGTGCATTCGAGATATATCACACTCACTAACAAGTTGATCGACGTTTGTCCACTTAAGCTCCTTCAGGAGCGATGTTACATGCGAAGATCTTCGCATGCCGAATACGACCTGTGCACAATGGTTCACAACTTTTTGTACACGAGGTCGCTGCATTTTACCGCACCCAGCCCATACGAGAATGTATATTAAATGTAGTATATTATATGTATATGCAGTATGCAGTATATTAAATGTAGTATGCAGTATATTAAATGCAGAAAAATGAGCGCCTCAAGAATCATATTCTTTACCTGTTTCGACAACCACTTTGCATATTTAGCTAGTCCACCGAGCGCAGCGTAACTGCGGCGTATCACAAGCGACACATGATCCTCAAACGTAAGACTGCTGTCGATTGCCACTCCTAAAATTTTTGCTTTGTCAGGCGACTTAATTCTGACCTCCCAAATTGCATTTCAAAGCTTGACTGATCACGCCTCTGTCTATGTTTTACAAGAACTAGATCTGTTTTTGAAGGATTTATTTTCAAACTATTGTCTGTGAACCACTGCTGTGAGTTTTCCAAGGTAGACTGAACACGAGTTGGAAGCTGCTTGTGATTTTTTTTTTTGAAGTTCAAGATGAAGAAATTGTACATCATCTGCGTACATGACAGTTTTCGTGTCCGTAAAGGATGTGAAGTCATTTGTGAAAAGTAAAAACAAAATCGGCCCTAAAAGCGACCCCTGCACCACGCCGTGACTGATCGGAAATGTCTTCTGTCCGCCCCTGACCTTTTGCACCCGTCCGCCCAAACAATCCTCGATCCAATGAGTATCAATACCGTACCATCCTAATTTAGTTAATAGCCTGGGGCGTCGCACACTATCGAAAGCCTTAGATGTGTCAGCTGTCGTAAGACTGCCGAGTGCCGACCTGACCCCCATCCAGCCCTCTCATCAAATATCCAACCGTATTCAATATCGCTGTCTCTATAGATCGCCCTGGCCTAAACTCGTGCTGCGCATCACTCAAGATAGAATGTGACATTACATATATTGGCGCTACAACCACGATGCTATCTCGGCGCATCACAGCGCACTGGCAGGGAGGTGAGGGCGGGGGGGGGGGGGCTAAACAATAGTCATACATACGATACAGCGTACATCTGACACGATCACAACGTCTGGTACCGACAGGAGGCCAACAGGCCGGCGATTCGCGCGCTGCGTCCCTGGCTGGTGGCCCGTGTACTGTACTGACCCCACCCCGTGTGGTACATACCGACAGGAGGCCAACAGGCCGGAGAGCCGCGCGCTGCGTCCCTGGCTGGTGGTGTTCGGCCACCGGCCCATGTACTGCTCCGATAACGACACCGACGACTGCACGAAGCAGTTCGACGCCATGCGAGTCGGCATACCCGTCCTGCACTTGTGAGTGTGTGTGTGTGCGTGTGTGTGTGCGCGGGTGGGTGGGTGGGGGTGTGAGGGTGTGGGGGGGGGGGTGAGTGTGGGTGAGTGTGGGTTGGGTGTGGGTGTGGGTGTGTCGGTGGGGGTGTGAGTGTGGGTGGGTGTGGGGGAGGGGTGGGGATGTGGGTGTGTCGGTGGGTGTGTGTGTGTGTGTGGGGGGAAATGTGAGTGTGGGTGTGGGTGTGGGGGGGGGCTCGCTGTGAGGTGACCAGCTATGTAAGTACGAGTGGTCCGTGTTACACCGGTGGTGTCAAGGCGACGTTGGCCCTCCCAGCGCCACGTACCCCGTGTCTGTGTTCTCTAAGGTCGAGGTAAATCTCAGTATTCATCAGCGGCGCCGCGCCGTGTTTGAACACCCCCTTGCGGTTTTCGCAACTATCTTAAAAACGGCGGCGCGAAGCGACACGGTTTTTGGCACACCCGTTCATGCATCTTATCCGCACATGTTGTGAAATTTTCAGAACCAGGTCGTTCAAGGTCAGGTCACCAGGTCACGCCAAGTGACCTCACTTCAGAAGAAAATTAGAATGCTCGTCATAGCTACACCGACGGAACGCTTGTCTGGAAATTTTCAACGATTGATAAGTGTAACAGTATCTTTAATGGTTTATCTCGGAATTTTGATATTGGTGACCTAAGGTCAGGTCAATTTTGCGGCCTCTCCATTATACATTATACATAAGTCAATGGGAGAAAATTAAAAGCGTCTCTTTTGCATGAACGCCATTCTAGACACTCTCAAACATCGGGATGCAGGTAAAATTGACACACTGAACCGGAAAATGGCACCTGTGACGCCTCGTTATGTCCCCGAGGTCATCTCAGGTCACGAATAGTATCTAACAGTTTTTCGCTGATAACTTCTGATAGAGGCATGCTAGAGCGATGAAAACGCCTGAGATGTGTTCGGCTCGACGATGCGGATCGACTGATAAGAAATATGACCTTTTCCGGTCAGGTCATGACCTTGACCTGAGGTCAAATTTTCATGTTGACCTTTTAAGGTCAAATTATAAGTCATTCGACGCGTCTCGACGAGAGGAACACGATGCTGGCAAAAGTAATGTCGTGACTTTTGAGCCCAAAGTTATTGCCGAAAAAACACTTGGTAAAAACGGCTATTTTTTAGTTCTTGCTCTCTGGAGGCTAAACCGTTGACCTGAGGTCAAATCTGAGGGTATGTTGTCGAAAGAGCGTTAAAAGAGCTATCGACTGCGCTTTCCCGCGGCGCTGTAGCTCTATGGGCTCCCGAGTTAGCCATTTGCAGTTTCCAAAATGTTGAAATAGCCAACATTTCACCTTTGGTGACCTCTGATGACCTGACCTACGACCTGACCCAAAAAAATACCGAAGTGTTTTCGCCCTTATTTTGGACGTTCTTCCGATTGCCGCTTACAGCGTGTCGCTACGTGGCCCAGGAGCCGAGTTAGAAGGCCCGGCGCCGGTTTAGTTCAGGTCACCAGGTCACGTCAAGTGACCTCACCTCAGAAAAAGTTAGAATCCTCGTCATATCTACACCGATTGAACGATCGCCTTAAAACTTTCAGCGATGAATAAGAGTAATGGTATGTAATGCTTTGTATTGTATTAGCCCGGCAGGCGGTGGGCCTCCCGGCCACCTTCCGCGCGGTGGGGGAAGGCATTTGTTTGCCCCCTCCCCCCGTATCACCGAAACTACTGGAGGTATCCGTAAAATTCAAACGGCGTTCGATAGCCTTGTCAAATGTGTTGAGGGAAATCCAATTTCATTGACCTTGGGGTCATTGATGACGTCACAGGTCAAGTCAAAGATGAAATGTTTCATCGTTTACGGGTCCTCTGGGGAAGGCGCTATAACATCGAGTAAAACGCATTTTGTCGAAAATCAGCGATAGGGCGTAAGTTACCTAATGCATATGCTGCTATTGGAAGTCAATGATAATACCAGGTCAGGTCACAGCTCAGGTCATCAAGGGTCAGCACATGAACCCAACTTTTCTTGGGTTGTGCAATGTGCGATGCATGTTTTTATGGCAATTTTTTCATTTCAAACTCAATGGTGTTGGTTATAACTCTATAAGACCATCAGGTACGGTTTAGGTCACTTTCTGGTGGAGGTCAGGTCAATGCTAGGTTACAAAAGGTCTAATTTCAAAGTTGATAGTTTTGCATTAAATGGTTATTGATTCGATTCAGCTCATCACGGCGAGTCTAATGGTGGTCTATGTTTTGCGCTACGTGGTCTAGAATTGCTGAAAATTGAGTTTGAAAATTTGATGTCATCAATTTTGAAGTTCTCTTTCGCTATAACTTGGCCAAAAAAGAAGTAACATCGATCTAGAATTTGGTATGTGAATAGAAGTCTTTAGAGGCTATTACATATATTCTGGGTTTTTCGAAAATCGAAAAAAACTTTTGGGATTTTTTGGCTATTATATTCCCAAAATATTTTTTGGGGGTTGAATTCCTAAATTTTCAAAATTTCGAGATAGCAGTATAGTAGCCCTAGTAATTCTACACATTTTATGTCTTGAACATTCTTCTGTATCATCAAAGCTATACCTAGGCCTGGCAGCTTTTCCCGCGGAACCTTTTTTTTTGGTCGAAAATGGTAGAAATGACGTCACTCCAACGTCATTAGCGGCCAACCTATCATAGCCTTTGGAAAAAAAATTGGTCACAACGTGTAATAGTTATGTCGAGGGTACTGAAAATTTGGTGACGTTCGGCGCAGCCATCTGGAGATATATCGAAAAAAAAATTAAAGGGAGGGGTAAAAAATGCCCCTCCCTCCGCCCACCGCCTGGAAGGTTAAACATCCGTAGACCATCCGCGATAACCGAGGCTAAATTGCTCGGTGTCAAAACCATACATAAAGCAGACATAAACGAACGGTGGGGGAGGTAGAACACGCATTCAAAACATGCACTCTAGCCTCCGCTCTCAGCCCGTCAAATCTGCGCCGCCACCCCGTACCAAGTGGCGCTTCACTCCTCCGCAGAGTCACGGTATAACAAGCCGGTACTTGCAGTATCGCGTCCACTTATTGGAGAAAAAAGGCTTCCATTGTTCACTAGGAATTAGCGTGATTTGATTAAATTCAGCGAATTGACTCGAAAATGGCGATAGAAAAACGGCTTTTCTGCATGTTCTGGGCGTCACAATCAGCTGGCCATTCAATAAATGGATTGGTTTTATGAAATAAAATTGTTAAAAGATTTAATTTAATTACAATAAACAAAGATATTTAATTTTAAAATAATAAATTAAGCACAATTAGAAAAACAAAAACGGTAAACAAAATAAAAAATAATGACATTTTTAAACCACGGTACTGCTTACATTTTTTGGCGCGTCTGTTTCAATCCGCCATATTTGCCAATCACAGTTTGACCTTGCGTTGTAACTCTGCGATTTAGAGCCGCCAATTAATTATGCACCGAGTGAGTATAGGCCTTGTGTGGTTAAAGGGACCCTCCCACCTTCAAAAAAGTTTATGAATTGGCATGAAAGTGATGTCGCTCGGTTCAGAAAGAGCGAAAACGAATATCTACCAAATTTCACCGAAAATATTAACCGGTTTTCAAGATCTTAGACTTTTACTTTTGTTTACTTTTTGGAATCTCCGCTGTTCCTAGCGACTTTATTTGGAAGCAATAGTTTGGCAGCTGAAAGTGCGGCACTTGTTGCGCGCAAAGCAGCATATACCACCGCGTGCTACAAAACGTTTTAGTCAAACATTGTAGCACGCTACATCTTGACCATCTAACGTAGTATCTTTTCGGCACGGTCGGCCCGGTGACGCGCAGCTGAGCAGAGCGCTGCCGCACGCTTCCCTCCCTTGTCATTATTCCCTCCCTCCTCCCACCCGTCCCCAGGTCCACCCTCCCCAATCATTTCTCACTGTCCGCACAGAATGGGCCGCCATTAAACTCCAATTAAGACAAGCACCTCTGAAGACAGTCACATCAGGATGAGTCATTGGTAGTCATTACAAAGCAGCTGAAGCTACAAGCAAACGTCGGCACACTGTGAGACCACGCGCAGGCTTAAGGCACGTAGCACATTGGGTCTCACGTAGCCATGGTAGCACAACAGTGCGTCTCACTGCAACGGAATCTGCTAAACTTAGCAGACAACCTCCGAAACAGACGTAGTTCAGGACGTCTCCACTGCGGACAGAAAGCGCTGTTGTCCGAAACAAACGTAGTTCAGGACGTCCCCACCGCGGACAGAAGGCGCTGTTCTACCGACCCTCCCAACCAAGATGACGTCAGTGGGCGGAGCAAGAGTGACGTCACAAGGGGCGTTGCCGGCAGACGAAACGGAAGGAAACAAAAGTTTGAATAAAATGAAATTGAAGAATCAAATTAAAACTCGAAAATCACCAACCTTTCGGGGATTGGTTTATGCCAGCGACAACTAAGATGATAAAGCACTCAACACGAAGACGATTCGACGGCCAAAAATTGCAGACACAGAGGAGCAGGATGACTAAACAGGACAGAGGGCGCCATCTTACGGGCCCACCCACAAGAGGAAGGCAGAGGAGGATGACGGCGCAAGGGCGTGGCAGTCACCCCCCCCCCCCCCCCCCAACTATAAAAGGGTGCGTCACCCAGCCAGGGAGAGTTGCACAGTCGAGCAGCCGAGAGTCACAGTCTGCAGCCGGAGCCGGAGACGCCATCTGGGAGCCGCCGTCAGTCCGGGGTCACCCGCGAGAAGCCTCTTCAGTTCGAGCGGCCAGAACCGAGGACAGCAGCCGACGCTTGTGACCACACTGAGAAGCGGAAGCGTAAAGGAACTCCAGAATGTGAGTGTTGCGGAAAAGTCTGCTCAATCCCAATCCTCACCCCCCCCCCCTTTGCCCAGCCTGCCGTGCCGTGACGACTGCCAAACATTTTCGGTTACGATAAAATGCACTCTCAATTGGAATTGGAAAACTTAAATTACTTTGAACTTATTGGTCCAGACACCCTAGTAGCATATTAGGATCTGAATTGGGAAGGTCATGTCAGAGTCGCCAGCAAACCGTTATTGTCCGTCGGAATTCACGATTAGGCCGGGAGCGAGATGCTAAAATTTGAATAAGCAGCTCATTGTCACGAACGTTGAGATTGATGACATGATGCGTGTCAGTATTGAATAACGAATATGTCTTTGTGTTTGGCCAAGCTGGTTCGTTCGATTTATTATCGGCGGTAGTCAGGTGCGATTAAGATTTGAGGTTGGAATTCGTTTGTGAAATTAAGGGTGTAGATTCGTGCTGTACTCACTAAAAGTTGCTTTGCGAAATCATTGGTAATATTGCTGGAGGAATTAATTGCGAAGTCGAAATCAATTATAGAACAGGTAAATACGATTGAAAAGAAATGTAATGTTTTAAGGTGGCGACTGATTCATGCAATCGATCTATGAATGTGGCTATGAGTTATGATTTTCGACGGATACGAATGCTTGATTTTACGGCGGAATTTCTTCTGTTACTTAGGTGCAGAGTTGAGAGTAGTGGTTTGAGGTCGACGGTCTGACACTTTGCGACTTGAGATGGTCCTTGTACTTTGCGTCAGTGAAATTGCGAAATGTCGAGTAATAGGTAGATGTAGAATTGTTTGTGGTTAGAACTAATATGCGACTAATATAGGTACCGATCGCTGTGCTTCTGTAGAATAAATACTAGAAAAGACCATCTTTGTTGGGAAACGAGTAAATGGACAGGAGTTCAAAAAAAAAAAAAAACTTACGTAAAACGGAGCTGATGAGATGTCGAACAGGGAGATATTGCAGCGATATTTTACCAGATTCACACTCACTGACACATTCGTTGAATCTACCCGGCCCGAAGAGACCGCACACACCAGTACTGCACCGCGAGTGATGACGCGCCCATCGCGGCGCGGCCTTGACAACTGTCGACTGCCGGCGACGACGATCCACTGCCCGGCAGCCGTGGTAATCGTCGTTCGCGACGCGGGACCGTGCGCCGCTAGATGGCACATGAGAGCAGCGTCGGGAGTGGAGCAGCGGCCACAATAGGGCAGTGCGTTTCTGTTATTCGCGTTCTTGCGAGTTAGCGCCAATAATTACTCCACCAATATTGGCACAGGGCATTGTGAGGCACAGACGGCTTGTTTGCCCGTCTCCTATGGCGTAACGTTTACCAGCATGACCGTATGAGACACAGATGCACTTCTCATAAACATACGTCCAGACCGGAATAATAAGAGGGACACACCGTCACGTACGCAGGGCATATGCACGTTTTCCGCCAGTGGTACCGGCTACTGTTAGATTTCCCGCTTAGGTAATACTGGGTAACGAGGCAGTGAGAGGTTTCTATGGCAGAGGGAAGGAGAAGACTGGTACAGTGCAGTCGGAGAGTAAGTTGGAGCTATGCCAAAGGTAAGAAGCCGAAGGTCAGGGGTGAGTCACCCAAAGGGCGGATAAGGCAAGCTATAGTGTCCCGAATAAGTCCTCATACTTATTTTGTAAGGGTACCTTAATCGGTACTGGACAGCCTCAGGGGAGGTAACGATGTACTCCAGGACACGTAAGGCCTTGAAAGTAAATCCCAGGGTTTAAGGAGAGTTCCTGAGGAGAGTTCCAGGATATGAACGGTGGTCCCTGGGTCGTGAACGGAGGTGTTACACGCGGACCGGAAGAGGGCATAGGTAATCTCTCCCGGATAGAGAGATAAGTCGGATGTAAATCGCGTATATGTGTACCATAAGTCTATCGGACGTGTAGTGAATCCCATAAATTAGCAGGGTGGATATTTGTGCAATTATTCTGGACGGCCCTGCGATAAGTATCTTAGTCGCCGGTTAGCGGAGCATGCATATGGATTTCGGAAAGAGACATTTATCTCGCCGGGGAGACCCTGGTTTGTAAGACACCTAACACTATCGGAGGGAATTTCGGGGGCTATCAATTAAATTTGGGTGAATATATGAAATGCAAACGTAATGCGAGCAAGGGTGTGAGAATGACGACGCATGAATCTTAGAATAAGGCCGATAGGAATTTGATAGAATTCGGTTACGGCAGTCGAACAAATGATTCTCGAGGGCAGTTAAAACTAGCAACGCTAATACGAATTAAGTGGGCAATTTTCGTAATGGGGAGGCCAGTGATATAGGAATGGGTGACTGGACGAATGATCACATTCAATTAATCAATGTAATTACCACCCATAAGTTTGGCAGTGGTCATCGGGACTTCGAATGCCCTGTTGTTGAAAATCAAAATGAAATAAATAGGGCCGGCTCTCTGGTTTGACTTTAAAAAACTTGAATATATGAGCACTTCAATTATATTGGTGGCGGTGGTGGCAGCAGATGGCACACTGGCGGTACACAACCTCACACGGCGGCGGTGGCGACAGAACTCAGAACGAAATAATACAACAAAGCGAAATCGGCGCGGTTAGGAAAAATATTCGTGAAGGATGCAGGGGTTACCAAATGGGCTGCCATAGGTAAAATAAAATGACGGGGCGTAAAGGAAAGGTAGGATACAACACAGTAACGATGGAAAACAAATACGGTACGGTAACATGAGGAGAAAAAAAGGTCACAGGGCAGTAACGAATAGCGACATACTCCCCACTTTCGAAGTGAGCCGTCACTTCGAAAAGTCTCTCCTCACTCGGCACACAGTCACTTTTTCGGCACTCGCCTCGCCGACGCTCACTTCACTCCGACGCCTCTAGTCTCAACAGTTTGTTGATCGGGCGGCGGGTAAGTCGCCCTCTTAGCACGATACTCGCCGCGCGAGCGCGGCCGTCCGCTCCAGACAGGAGGGACACCACGCGCGCCAGAGGCCAGCGACCACGCGGACCTTCCGCGTGCACCAGCACAATCTCTCCAACCTCGGGCAGCCGAACCGGACGGCCGCGCCGAGAGAAGCTCCACGTGCGTAGAGTCTGCAGGTACTCTTTGGTCCATCGCTGAACCAGGTGCTCGCTGACCAGCCGCTGGTGCCGCCAGCGCCGACTCAGGCTGTCCAGCTCGTGGCCAGACGGAGAGAGCACGCCACGGATGGACGTGACCCCGAACAACAGGTGCGCGGGCGTCAGCACGTCGTCGTCACCTGGGGTGAGAGGTCGGAAGTTCAGTTGTAACGCCAACTCATACAGGGTGACTGCCAACTCCTCATGGGTAAGATAACACTGGTGCAGGGTAATGCGCAGGGACTTCTTGGTTATCCCGACCAAACGTTCCCAGAAGCCGCCCCACCAGGGCGCCGCCTCGGGTACAAAGCGCCAGGTCACAGCTGCAGGTAGGTGCCCGAGCAGGGCATGAAACGTTCTGGCATTGTCACTCACAACTAGCGATGGGGTGCCACGTAGCGCAAAGAAGCGGCGCAAAGCCAACTTGACGTCAGCGACATTCTGAGTCTTACACAGTTCGAGATGCACAGCTCGCGACGAGGCACAGGTCAGCAGCAGTACCCATACCTTGTCGCCGCCCTTGACGTACATCGGACCGAAAAAGTCCACACCGACCCGGCTGAACGGACGACTGGGCTCCGTCCTGAACAGGGGCAGCGCGCCATCAGCTGACCGGTACGGCGCACCCCGGTACCTCCGGCACCTGAAGCATGTACTGACCACACGATGAACAGTTCGTCTCCTCACCCAGTATTCACCAGACAGCAGTGCCAGTGTGGTGCGGGTACCCTGGTGAAACGATTTACGGTGTGCATCATCCACTATCAAGGTGGTCAGATGGGCAAACTCGGGCAGAATGATCAGAGCAGGTTCGTGAGTTCGCGTGACAGCTTCTAGGACACCATCTGCGTTCAGACGAGGTCTGACCTTCTCGAGTCGCGAGTTGGGTGGCAGCGGCGCGCCAGCCGTCAGCGCCTCCAGCTCCGGCGCGTAGGCGGCACTCTGCGAGACCCGGATCCAGAACCGCAGCGCCTCCCGGCGCTCGTCGGGCGACAGCGCTCCACTCCTCCTCTCCGTGCGCTGGTGCCTGGCGTTGTGCGCGAACCGAAGAATCCACGCGGTGCGGTTCACTGCCTGCTTGAGATGAGAACACCGAGTCACGTCAAACGGTCCACGCATGACGTCTGGAATCGGATCAGGGCCACACTCTCGTCTCACGGCCACGATCTGACGTCTGACCTCGGGCCTCGTCTCTGCTTCGGCTTCTGCTGAGGGAGGCGTCAGTAGCACTAACGAGGCATCATAGTCAGGCGGACTCAAATCAAATGGTGGACCCTTCCACCACTTGTCACAGGCGATGAGAGAGGTCAGCGTTACCCCTCTCGTGCCTATGTCAGCGGGGTTATCAGAGCCTCTGACGTACCTCCACTGGTCGGCGGTCGTCAACTGAAGCACAGTCTTCACCCGGTTCTCCACGAACATCTTGAGAGGCCGCCTCCGGTTGAGCCAGTGAAGCACGTCGGTCGAGTCGGACCAGTAGGTGACTGTTGCGCTCTCCAGATGCAGCGCGTTCTTGATGAAGTCCATCAACCTGGCTCCAACAACAGCGGCCATCAGCTCCAGCCTGGGGATCGTTAGATGTGGAGACAGGGGGGCCAGCCTACTCTTCGACATCACCAGGGCAGGCTCCCCACCCTGGACCACATACACCACCGCGCAGTAGGCGGTCCGAGACGCGTCACAAAACACGTGAAAAGTCGCTCCGGACTGGTCGTCACGCGCTCCGGCTAGGCGAGGGAACCAGATCACCCTCCCCGGCGAGTCTCTCCACCAGGCTCGGACCTCGGTCTGCAGCTCCCCACTCAGGGGACTATCCCATGTGCATTCAGCGTCAAGCCAGGTACGCTGAAACAGGGCCTTCCCCCAGATCAGCCACGGCGTCACCACGCCGAGCGGATCAAACGGTCTACTCACAGCAGATAGCAGCTCAGCCCGGGTGCCAGGGCAGGTCACCTGTGGCACGGTCACGGCCAAACGATCCGATCTTGTGCTCCACAGTAGGCCGAGCACCTTCTCGTCCTCAGTGTCGTCACCAGACATCCTGGTCTTGTGAAGATCCATGGAGGCCTCGCTGAAGACGTCACCCATCTTCGTCAGTCCGGCCTCTGCCTCCGCCCTCGTACTGAAGGACGGGCACATGTCGTCCATGTAGACGGAATCCTGAACCTTCTGCAACAGAACAGGTTCATCGCGCAGACACCGGCGGACGTGCTCAGCGATAGTGCACAGCAGCATGTAGGGCGAACAGGTGAGTCCAAACGGGACCCTGCGAAACCTCAGCCGCTGGCCCGCCCACAGCAGCTGCACGAACTGACGGTCCTCCTCAGTGAGTACAATCTGATGGAAAGCTGCACGAATGTCCGTCTGACAACCCACAGCTCCTGAACGGAAGTTAAGTAGCACAGCTGGTAAACGATGCAGCAGGTTCTCTCCCGGCTCAAGGTAGGAGTTCAGGCTCATACCTGCACCGTCTGGCGCTGATCCATCGAACACCACTCGCAGTTTGCCGTTGCGGTGCAGTCCTCGATGCGGTAAGATGAACTCTGATGGCGGACTCGGCTGCGCGGGCTCGATGACGGCGTCTTCCAGCAGCTGATGCAGGTGGTCATCGTACTCCTGGAACTGTTCAACATTCAACTTCTCTGTCATACGGTGAGTCCGGGTCTTCGATAACATCAGGTTAGACAATGGGCGCTGGTCGGACTTCCATACTAGCCCCATCTCATACCTGTTCTCGGTGGCGTTCCAAGTCGGTACAGGTGGGTCTCTCTCGGCGGTCTCCTCTGCGGCGACTCCCACAGCGTCCAGCGTCCACATTCGCTCGACGTCAACCAGCTGACAGCGGTAGGCGTGCCGCTGCCGGGTCGTCTGCTGGCCTGGGGACTGTCCGTGGAGCACATACCCAAACACAGTCTCCACCAGCCGGAGGCCAGGATTCACCTCCACCTGGTTCCACAACACCACCTTGTACAGCTGATCACACCCAATTAGAACATCAACAGGTCCGTCACGGAAGTCATCAGCAAGCTCTACACTTGGGGGCAGAGACTGAATGGGTGGTGGAGCTCCCACAGGCGTACACAGCTTATCAGTTCTCCAGAACACAAGCTCGGCCTCACCTTTCTGGTATCCAGTGAGCCGCGCGCTTACTTGGTCGTACTGGTGAGCCTCCTCAACTCTTTCCTTGAATCCGACACACGCGAAGGTCCCCTGGCCGACCTTCTCGAGTCCCAGCTGGTCAGCCAGTGAAGCCCGGATGAAGGAGGCGTCTGCCCCGCCGTCAATCAGCGCGCGTACTAGACGCACGCCCCGAGGACCAGCCACCTCCACGAGCGCCGTCTGCACGTAGCAGTGCTGCTGGCTCCGCACGCCCATGCACATCCGTCCCTGGTTGGCAGAAAAAGTACCAGCAGCAGCAGGGGGCGGCAATGGTCTGCGATCAGGCATGCGACTCTCAGACACAGCAGCAGCGGCAGGGGGTGACAGAGGTCCGCGATCAGGTACACATCTCTCAGTAGGCATGAGGGCTGCATGCTCTCCGGGCGGCGGGTGCAATGACGAGTGGTGCGGGCCACCACACCATGGGCATCGGGTGCTGTGGCAAGCACGCAGCAGATGGGGACCAAGACACTGGTAGCAGAGCTTAGCCTGGCGCACAACATCCCAGCGAACAGGCACAGTCATGGTGCGGTAGGCCGAACACGCAGCCAGGCCATGCCTACCCGTTCCGCATGCCAGACATACCCAGTCAGGTCCCTTCTTCTGCCTCACGTTCAGCATGCTGACTGTCGGCTTCCTAGGTACTGCGGTAGGTGGCTGCTCACTGGTGGTCCTCTTCCTCCGAGCAGCTGCCTCCTCCCTGATGCTCATCTCCTTCTGCAGGAACTTCAGGAAGACTGTGAGTTCATCAGATGAGTCAGCACTGCATCTCAGCCATTCAATCTTCCATGACTCAGGGATGCACGACAATAGCACAGGCATCAGCAGAACAGCATATGAGTCAGGCAACACGTTCATCGTCTCCAGTGCCCTGACCTCAGAAACCAGCCCATCAATCATGCGGCGCAAGCGGACCAAGTCATTGTCACTGTGCACAGGGGTGGTGGACAACAATCTCTGCATCAGCACCTTAATGCACAAATCTGGGCGATCAAACCTTTCCCTCAGGGTCTCCACAGCCTTCAAGTAGCCCTGGTCAGTGATGGGAAGACCCTGCACAGCCACCTCTGCCTGATCGAGGAGGTGCGCCTTCAAGTGCACCAGCTTTTCGACAGGTGCATAAGCAGGGTTGTCATGGACAGATACACAGAACAGGCTCCAGAACTCTGACCACTTTTCCACATCCCCACAGAACTTGGGCAGCTTCAGGTCCAGCTTTCCCCCCAGGTAAGGCGGCACACACTGAGTCCTTCCAACAGAGACCTCAGAGCTCCTTTCCAGACGAGCAAGCACACGCTTAGCTTTGAAAATCTGATCCTGCATATCCTGAATATGCGAGGTATCATCAGGCACAGACAGCTTTGTCAGGCTCACCTGGATCTCGGTCATCAGATCAACGTGCTGCTCAAGGTGGTGTATTGCCAAGGCAAGGTCGTCCTCTTGAGAATTATCACATTCGGCAAGCTCTTTCATCAGTCTGGTTGCCTTACCTCGAGCCACAGTCCTTTTCTGTTTAAGCTGTGCCTCACTCTCCATCTTGATATACACAATTCACAAGTCAATCTCAGTCTTGATCAGTCAAAATCAATCAGCAAATCATCAAAGAAGCAAATTTAACAGAAATCAAAAAGTCATCCGGCCCGGAGGACTATGTTGAAAATCAAAATGAAATAAATAGGGCCGGCTCTCTGGTTTGACTTTAAAAAACTTGAATATATGAGCACTTCAATTATATTGGTGGCGGTGGTGGCAGCAGATGGCACACTGGCGGTACACAACCTCACACGGCGGCGGTGGCGACAGAACTCAGAACGAAATAATACAACAAAGCGAAATCGGCGCGGTTAGGAAAAATATTCGTGAAGGATGCAGGGGTTACCAAATGGGCTGCCATAGGTAAAATAAAATGACGGGGCGTAAAGGAAAGGTAGGATACAACACAGTAACGATGGAAAACAAATACGGTACGGTAACATGAGGAGAAAAAAAAGGTCACAGGGCAGTAACGAATAGCGACACCTGTCCTTCACCTGCCCAACTGTGCCGCAAACCCAGCTGATCGGATCCCTCTATCCCTAATCCGAGTAGTGAAGAAGCATCTCGTGCATCATGGTCTATACAATGAACAGAATCATCAAGCCTCTAAATCAAAAAGCATCTTCCATCAGATGTATTTGTACGCAAGGTGGATCTATATCTACATCTCTCCCAGGTGGACGTCATCTTTAGATCCCTAGCAGGTGGATTAGATCTATCTCAGGATCTCATCTCCATCTCAAGATCTCTATCAAGATCCCTCTCTAAAGCTATCTCTATTGGATACCTACATCTATCTCAGGATCTCAACACCATCTCAGGATCTCATATCCCTCTAGGGATCTTTTCCAAGACGCTCAAGCTCCCCTGTTCTACCAGCTTTACTACCGAGTTCTTCCAGCAGCGAATTATGTTCTTCTTGTACAACCAGTTGAGTGACAACGGACCGCGGTGTTTGATGAACCGCAAAGAAGATGAAGCTTTTTTATTCCTTCTTTCCTCTTTTCTCTAATTTCCCTTGCTACAACATTTAAAAATCGTTAGATATCTGCGCTGACGTCACACATTCAGAGGGGATTCCTATGCATTAGCCCCTCTGAATCAAAATGCTGCAATTTTGAAATTCAATATTTCCGATTTAAGGCATTTCTCGATGTTGTGAGTGCCGAAACCGGTAATTGTGAGCCAGGGACCCCATTTTGGCTATCTCAACTCAAATCTTATGTTAAGGTGGGAGGGTCCCTTTAACCCGCGAGTTGCTGGGGGGGGGGGGGCGTTAAACGCCCCCACTTTTTTCGCCGGGCCATAGCATAAAAACGGCGCGCCGCAGGCGCGCCAAATTTTGGGTACCTGTAGGGAATTGATTGCAGTTTATTGTGACAAAGTTTCAAAAAAATCGGTCGGAAAATTTTTGAGATATCGAGGTTTTAGTGACGTCATGATTTCTGACTTTTCGACCAAAAACGGCATATGTTCAAAAAATCATATAAAATCACAGAATAAACATACAGACATGCCGTAAACGCCATTAGGCTGCCAATACCATGATCAATCAAATGGCTATCTTCGATTATTGATTATCGTTCCGCATTTTCCAAAATCATGAACTGAATCTTGGCAATTTTTCGTGACTTCTTCACGACCATGATACATGAATTTCTTAAACTGAACTTTTTGAGCCAAACACGTACACATATGATAAAATGAATGTCACCATCGTGTTCTACGCCCCAAATTACCTATAAAACATGTGTCACAGGCTGCGAATATCAGTTTTGATTTTCGGGGATATGTGCCCACCCGGTTGACCTGACCTTGACCCTGACCTATGCTTGACTGACCCCTATATGAAGCACACACTCTTGTAGGCCTTATAAGATGGATTGTGCACCGTTTTGACAGAGTTTATGGCGAGAGGCGCCCATTGCGAAGTCCTGAAGTCCATGCTACTGAAAGCCCGATTTCAGGTGTTTGACCTGACCTTGACCCGACCTGTGACCTCAAAATTCAACTTTAAAGTACTCATCTGAAGCGTCTCGTCGCGCTCTTTCGTTTGCCGCCTCGTGCGTTTCGCTGCGCCTATTGGTTCTCGAGTTATCGGCTGGGGGCGTTTAACGCCCCCCCCCCCCCCCCAGCAAACGGTGGGTGGCGAAATACCCCAGCAACTGCCGGGTTAAAAAACATTCCTGTGCCTTATTTTTTTCATTTGAATGCTTGGATTCATTGAAAAGATGAAGTTGTCTGATTTAATGACCATATATGGTCATCGCCCCGCCCACTCCAGCCGCTGATTGGCTAATCCAATTTTTGTTTGGCTCCTCGTAGTTTCCCCAACTGAATTACTGTTTCATGGCGAGAACTCAGCTTAAACACGAACTTCGGAATCGTTTGGACCGAACTCGTCCCCCGCACTCTTTGACAAAGTATCTTTGATCCACGAAAACAATCACAATTTGAGGAGGAATTCCACATTTATATACATCAAACGATAGCTCCGGGTCTGAAAACACACCTAAGTCCTAACCACATGAAAATGGCCAACTTCTACTTGGTTATGATGTATTTGCACCGCAGAGATTTAAAGACGAATATAATTTCATATAATTGATGTCACACACAAATAGACTTTAAAAAAAGTACCGCAAAGTACCGCTTCGAAAATCTCGCTACATGTCATTGAGTCATTGCACTAAAAGATCCAACATTCATTTCTTGCGACTTTTTGCGACTCTGGGTGTAGCAGCCAAACATCAGCCCGCGCCGGACCGGTGCTCGGCGCCAAACGCGCCGGGCCGGGAGGTGTTGATTGAACACTTCCCTTCTAACTCGGCTCCTGGGCCACATAGCGACACGTAGTAAGTGGCATTCGAAAGAGCGTCCGAAATTCCAGGTAGTGTAATTGGTCATTTCGAGGTCAGGTCAAAGGTCACGTCACCAGAGGTCGTCAAAGGTAAAATGTGGCATATCGCAACATTTCTCGAAACACCGGCGCTTACCTCCGGGACCAATAGAGCTACATCGTCGCGGAAAAGTGCATTCAATAGCTCTTTTAGTGGTCTTTCTGAAATAAGCCATCAGATTTGGCTTCATGGTGAATGGTAGGACCTCCAACTGGAGACCTGTGACCTCCGGCGTTCCAGAAGGAGCACTTTTGGCCCCCCTCCTTTTCGCAATGTTCATCAACGATTTACCGTGTCACATCACATCCGGCTGCCTTTTGTACGCCGACGACGTCAAAATTTTCCGCCAAATCAACTCCCCAGCTGACGGACTATTGCTGCAGAACGACCTCAATCAGCTGTCAGCCTGGTCCGTCAGATGGGGACTTACTCTAAATCCAAAAAAGTGCAAATTATTCACGATGACCCTCAAGCGTGCCCCGTCCAGACCAAATATTTTATAGCCGATGCGGAACTAGAACATGTGAGCGAGATCAGGGACTTAGGGGTGACCCTCGACACCAAATTAACGTTCGCGCCGCATATATCAGACATTGTTCGCAAGGCCAATCGTGCGCTCGGCCTCCTCATTCGTTCTTTTCAAGTCGGCTTCGGCAAGGCTAAATTCAACCGCAGCGCAGTGTTAGCCGCATACTTCTCAAACGTGCGCTCTATTTTAGAATATTGCAGTACGGTCTGGGCGGGGGCGGCAAAGTCCCACGTGGTGCGGGTCGATCGAGTTCAGCACAAATTCCTCATCTGGCTGCTGGCGAACACATCCTCTGGTTCCTCTCCGTCTCTCTCCTACAGCAGCCTATTACTCCATTTTCAAATCCCTTCTCTGGCACAACGCAGGATCCAGCACGATATCCTTTTCCTGAAGAACATCTTTCATGGGAGAATCAGCTCCGCCATCCTTGTGAATGCATTTCATCTCCATGTGCCACCTCGATCGACCCGCACCAACACTCTTTTTGCTGTGCCCCGCGCTCGTGTGATGGCAGTGCAGTCGGGCATGTATTGCAGGATCCCGAAGGCAATCAACGCTTTTTTGTCCACCAATCCAGAGGCGGACATATTTAATGACAGTTTACGTGCTTTTAAAACTCGTGTCACCGCATACGTTTTAACCGTGTAGTTTTTTGCTCACCGATCTCACTTTTGTTTTGTTTTACTTTACTTTTATTGTGTTTATTTTTTATGTGTATTCTTAATTTTCTCATCATTCTGCTGATGTTTATTATTACCCCCTCGTGCTTCATTTGCACTTTTATATGCATCTTTTGATGATTCTTTTTATGCATCATGTATTTTAGCACACATTTATCTTAATTTTCATTTTATAAAATAGTTGGGAACTGCGGGCTGTGATGCGACAGGTATGATGTTTACAATGTGTCTTATACTGTTTAATGTTTTTATGTTGACTTCACCTGTCAGTGGGGCTTGTCCCTGTTGGTGATTCTGATAAATAAATAAATAAATAAATAAATAAATTCATCCGCGCACCGACGGGGGGGGGATATGAGGTTTTTCGCGAATAGCGCGAAAACCGTCGCGTGTAGCGCCGCGAAATTTGATGCGACTATTCTCTCATCAATTTTACACATGATGTGCAAGTTTGAACCTCCTAACTTTAAAGGTCAGGTCACCAGGTCACTTTGAATGACCCAACCTCAAGTCACTTTTTGCAACTTTGTCACCGTGCCAGAGCTACAGTAGATGTCGGAGGCCTTTGAAAGTCGCAGGATGTTATAAGTCATTAGTAGCTACAATTTGTATATCTCTGAATTTTGATATCGATGACCTAAGGTCAGGTCATTTTCTCGACCTCCCCATTATAAGTCAATGGGGGAAAAATCAGCTCCCTGTTTTTACCACTAAAACGGATCGGAATTGCTCCATATACCATACATGACTTCATATATGATCAACCTTCACTATCTTGAGGTCTGTTTTGCTGTTGGGCAGCTGTAAGGTCATGTGACGTCATCAAAGGTCACCAGCGGGTTTTTGCCAATAACTCCGTACAGGAACAAGATACAGCCGCGCGGATGGTCTCATTGTGTTCAGCTCGTCAAGACGCATCGAATGATATGCATGATGACGTCGGGGTCACGTGACCTGAGGTCAACCTTTGACCTTGACCTTTCGAGGTCAAAATATTGTCGGGATTTCGTAGGGGAGAGTGGGGTAAGATGCCCAGGGTGGGAAAGACGCCCCATCCCCTCTAGCGGCGAAACAAAGAATCGAACCTGGAAATTAATGTTCTTAGCGTAAAGCAGAAGCCTGCCTTGTTAACTGCACAAAAATTTGCGAAGCTCAGTTGGGCAACGGCTGGCTGGTGATTGCATGTTTTTTATTTGCTGCTTTCAAAAAATATTTTGGTGTCAAAACATTGTAAATATCAAAGAAGATAGATAATGTTTGCGTCACTTGCTATAGTCGTGATACATTGACATGCGTGTACTATGTCCCAAACAGTTTATTTCAGGGTGTAGTTTTATGGCTAACAAATTGTACCTACTGATTTAATG